TTTATTGGATTCAAACAAACAGACAGACAGACAGACAAGCCAAATTTATATATAGATTGCATCTTTCTTCATTACTTAAAAAAAATTTCAGTTTATTATCAGATTATAAAAGTATTTAAGTTATTTATTTATTTAATAATAGTATTTTAAGTTTATACATTTAAGCATATATTTATTTATATCACAAGGGAAAAAAAACAGTTTTCAACTGATAAAGATTCAATTCTCGTTGTCTAATGAAGTTCTTCCGACTTGATTTTATATATTTTAAACAATTTTCTTTGTTTAGATTTAAAATGTCGTCTTCGGCAAAGTCCTTTCACTAACACAAGGTTGCGTGAGGAATTCTTATTTACAGGGACCCACCAGTTGCCTACCCCCCCAGAAGAGAACCTCTCTAATCTGAGTAATAGCACTAGCAGTCTATTTTATAGTTTGATGGAGCGCTGTGTTTAGTTGCACATCTGGTATCCTACAGGGAAGTAAGAAGTGTAAATAGAATAAAACAAGACTTCATCTTTAGCCTGATGCAACTGAAAGAAGGAGTTTAATCCCTGATGGGTATTTAAGCCATGCACAACAATACCAGTTTTTTACTCCACCAGCTGTGAGGACTGGACTGTGAATGATTCCTCTCAATGGGGCTTTAGGGCTAACATCTCCTCATATTTTGCATAAGGGGTTCAAATTAATTGGTTTTCTTAATGCCTGTTAACTCAGGAAGAGTATAACAGAAGGAACACAGCTGGAGCAATCCCCTATACCCTTCCTTCAACAAACCTCCTTATCTATCTCCTACCTGCTTCACAACTCAATGTCAAAGAACTATTTGGAAAAGTGTAGAACAAGATAAATAGGAAGAAAGAAGAAAACATTGAACAGGAAAGTTGGAGGGGATGTTAAGCTTTACATTATCTGTTTTGCCGATAGCAAATGAAAACAAACATGGGATGGGAGACGTCCCCTCCCCCTCTATGTATTCTACCTGGAATAAATTTCTCTAGAAAGTATGTAGAAGAATCTGACTCAAGTAACACATGTGCAATTAATGCAAGAGGAGAGGGCTTGCCCCCCATGCCCCAAAGAATTCAATATAAAGTTCCGAGAAAAGAAAGCAAGATCCTCAGCAAGTTGAATTAAATACAGGGTTCAGAAATAAAGCAAGATCCTTTAAAAATAGTTCTTTCTTGTAAAGTGGCAAATTACAAGGACATCCAAAAAAAATTTTCTTTTTCTTTTTAAAATTGTACAAGCAAGAAGAAAATGAAGAACCTGAAATATAGAAATCTCAAAATATTTCCGTCTGATATTATATAATTAAAATAAATTATTAAAGTTAAAAACAGGGTTACCCACAAAGGAAGAGACTTCATAGATAATTGTACTGAATTTATACTGTATATTTATGATTCCATGAAACTGTAAACTTATTTCTTTCTTTACTCGATAATAAAAAAGGGAACAAAAAGTCTATATTTAATTTAAGACAGAAGTCTATTAATTTAATCTTGTAATCATCATATTTGAGGAGTTTCAGGTCGTCTTTACAGTCTCATTCTTTGTGGGTAACCCTGTATATGTAAAATGTTGTACATTTATGTATGTATTTTATATGTAATATGTATGTATATTTAAGTATCATTTACAGCGAGAACTATGAAAACTACCAAAATAGGAAGCCGACTTTTAGACTCAAAGTATTCAATGAGCATGAGAAACAGCAATTGTGGAGCATAAACAGAACCATTTTACTCAATATGTGATTTAATAGGTCACTAGTGAAACTATTTGTTTTGAAACATCCAATTTTGCTTGAATGTCGTCTTCATATTCCAGAGTTTTCTAGTTCTCTCTGTACATGATGCAAAGTTTTCCACAAAATACAAGACAATCACATTTCACGGTGCATGGATTTAAGAGGAAAAAATACTAATTAGAACAATATCAGACTTCGGAGGTATTAAAATTTAATTTCTATTTGTAAAAAAAATATTATTTTTTTCTAATTTAACGTCTAAAACCCAAAAGGGAAACGACATCGAAAACAGTAAAGAATATTTGTTAACACAAATTCGAAATATAAGGAAGACGATTTTACCTACTCAGATGCCGTCAACTATTCTCAAGACATGTTTATTTGTTTCTGCCATGAAGCACCCACATGTCACCCTTGCTTCTTCGTTCCCTCCTCACCCCTCTACACATCCCAGCCCGGCAGTCAGCCTGAAACACTCAAGACGATCACAACTCTGTCTCAACCCTGACTCCTTCATGATGGTGATTCAGATACCGAGATAGATGCAGACTCTGCTTACATCTCTCTAGCCCCACAATGCTCCAGAGATCAACATTATCATGCATCACAGAGACAACATAATCGCTCAATGCACACGATAAAACCGCGATATCTCTCCCATAGCCTGAAACCTGGTTGTGAGCTAACCTGCTGTGATTGAAGATCTGCACCACCAACATGAAGCTCTGCTAATATGTTCCAACTAATGTTCGTCAATAGTTTTCTTTGTTCATTTTTAACCAACCAATTTTACTCCGTCTTCTGCAAATATTTCAAAACTTTCGTTTTTTGAAATAAATGTTAGAAATATCCATTTCAGATATCTTTGTTTTATTATAGTGACTTTTAAAGTCAACAATATTACTTCGAAGATATTATTCAAAATGAAATTTGAGCTAAATTTTTCTTTCTTCTCTTTCATTTTTTTATCGTTTCTGTAAACAGGATTCAGTCAAATTCTTTTAACAGATAATCGGGTACAGGGTGTCCCAAAAAACATGGGAATTCAGTGACGAATTGGATATCGTCTTTGTTATGAATTAGCATTGTAATATCTAATTTCAAAAGCCATAATATTATTATGTCTGCTAGAGTTTATTTTATAAAAAGGGTAAAAGACTATTAAGATGTGTGTGTCTATAAGGTCTCCACAAGATGAAAAGTATATACGGACAAGTTTACTCTGTTTGTATACTGTAATTTTCTTGTTTTGCTCAGTTCAACCGTATGCAGTCAAAACATAAACAAACAAAATGTGAACATAGCAGACGAAACTCCTAGAGATTACAGCTTTCTCAGAAGGTATCACTATACTTAATCAAAGAATTATCTAAAAAGAAGATATCGAATTTGTCACTGAATTCCCATGTTTATTGGGACACCCTGTATGATTATTTTAACTGGGTAACAATTGGACGTGTCACGTGTGACGACGTGCAATAGTAGTATACTTCTGAAACCCATTTTTCTTAATTTGCTTTTGCATTTGTTTGTATTTCTTTTGGTAGCTTGTATTATTAAATACTCCCTTTCAACCCTTTTTTAGTGATTCAATCTTTTTAAATTCTCTGTTATTATTCCGAGAGTTCTAATTTAGAGCATATGCACAATCCAATAAGACGTGTAACAAACAATTTCTTATTTAAATGAATAAGTTTTACATTTTTTTACAAGCAAAATATCTAGCTTAGTTCACTTGTTAATTGAATAATATTAATTTAAACGGATAGTTAAGTATTTCTTTTTATCAAATTTTTAATTTTTTTTTTTTCTAGTAACATAAAAGATTTTTGTTAAAAGAAATTATTAATGATTTATATATTCTCTTGATCAGACAACGCTTGTAAGGGTACCATTGTAAATCAGACATTCCTCACGCCAAACTAACTACAACAAAGTACGTTCTGTCTCTATCGACATATTTATTGCATCATTTTATGATTTATAATTTTCAAAATTATTCGAAAATAGCGCAGATAAATATTTGGTCCAATAAATAGAATAAAATGGCAAATATGAAAAATCTCTATTTATCGGGTGGGAAAGGTTCTAAAAGCTATGGTTAACTTAGTAAATAGCAACATTCACTTTTTAACTCAAGGATCATATTAATTTCTGAGTACAGGGATTTTATACCCATTATCTCATTAACAAATATTTACGAATAATTACTTCTGTAGAAATAAATAACAATTTATAACGATCATCTTATTTACTCAATTTAAGAATGTATAAGTTGATAAATTATGTGATTATATATTCAAAACAGTTTAATAAAGAATATTTCTGATCTTTTTTATTTAATTCATTTCTTATTTCTTTTAAATGAAGGCAAAAATGTTTTTATCCAGTTTTCTTCTTCCCCTTGCCCAATATTACAGTGTTTTGATCGTTTTGATGCTATTACGAAAATTAAAAAAAAAATCTTTCAATTTATTTTAATATTACACGGAGAATTTTCTTTAAAATGACGATTATGTTTAGGTCACTTGAACGTACGGTAAATTTTTCAACAATTTAATATTTTTAAATAACTAATATTAAATATTATCTTAAAATTTATAATATTTTATAATATTTTATCACTAGGAATGAAAGATTTCTTTACTGTTACAAATTTTAATTACATCTCATTACAAGGAAAAACTAAATCTATAATACAGGTTATTATTATTATTATACTCTGTGACCATCACTCTATCCTGTCTTTTCTTGCTTAAAATTACATTTACGTTTTATTTTATATATTGTTTTATATTTCTGAATTGCATTTTGTACATAGGCATTGTTAAAATGAACAAAAATCGGAGGGGTACATGAATTCTATTTATAGTTTGAAACGACTCTACACAATTCCTCAAAATTGATTTAACATAAATTTAACGTATACCTTATCCAGCTCTTAGAATTGATCTTAAAATTGTTACAAAACCCCCGGCAATTGATTCATGAAAATCCCTAATAAATGATCAATAATATCGGAGGGTTTACAGATCTCTTAATATTGTTCAATACAATTGAGGGTTATATACATAATCCCTAGTAATTGATAAAAAACAGCAAAAAGTTTTCATAATCTCTAAAAATGGATCAAAATATCATAATATTGACATAACCCCTTAGAGTTGATCAATAATATATCGGAGGGTTTACATATTTCCTTAAAATTGATCAATAACATATCGGAGGGTTTACATATTTCCATATCGGAGGGTTTACATATTTCCTTAAAATTGATCAATAACATATCGGAGGGTTTACATATTTCCCTAAAATTGATCAATAACTTATCGGAGGCATTATATAATCCTTTAGAAAGTTATACCAAACCCCTTAAAAGATACAAATAACAAATATTTAAAATAAATGTACACTATTTACAATGGAAATAGATAATAATTATTTTTTAAAAAATTTAAAGAAAATGATATTTTCAGACAACATACAATTATTATGACACGTTTGTTTATATAAGATTTAAAGAATATGCTTAGTTGTCAAATAATATTGATATTAATATTGATCATAATTTACAATATCGGTCAGTTTACAATATTGATCATAGAGTTATAATATTGGCATATTTTGCAATATTGATCATAGTTTTCAATAACGATCATAGTTTTCAATTTTGATCATAGTTTTCAATAATGATCTATAGTTTTCAATATTGATCATAGTTTTCAAAATTAATTAAAGGTTCAATCAATAATGGCAGTTTTTAATATTAATCATAGATAACAAATCAAAATTGATCATAGTTTTCAAAATTGATCATAGTTTTCAATATTGATCTTAGTTCACAAAATAAAAGAGCATAATTTGTAAAAAAATCTTAAATTGTACAATGCAACAATGCAAGAAATTGAACGGTATTTGTAAAGACAATTGATTGGACTCATTATGTTTATCTTTTCTTAACAAAAAGTGTAAATTAAAATAGTTTTCTCTTTGACTATTTGCTCCAGATCGACCAATCGATGTCTCTAATCGAATATTTTGATCAATATTCGAATGAGCCAAGAGTTTATACATCCCCAATCTACTTTCTCTTTAACCTCCTTCTCCTGTTCATCTCCTTCCTCTCCTTCAGGCATCAAGGGACTCCTCTCTTCAATCTAATCAATTAAATAATTAAATAATTAAATAATTAAATAATTAAATAATTAAATAATTAAATAATTAAATAAATCATTATGAAAATAATCCAGAAGAGAAATCATCAAAAGGGCAATCATTAACTCAACAACAAAAGATTCAAATTTCTGCTGCAAAATAATTTAATTGAGAAAAATATTTTCTTCACAGAATACAGATAGGGTAAAAAATACAGTTATTCTTCCTTTAACTAACCATGAATTATAATTAAGAATTTGTACTTTGTAATGTTCTACGCACACTTAAAGAAATAAATCAGTTCTAATTTAAAAAAACAGTTCTAATTTTAAAAAACAAGTTCTAATTTAAAAACCAGTTCTAATTTTAAAAAGCGGAAAAACAGTAATAATTTTACTGCTTTTGACGACTACCTTATAAAGCAAAGTTTGTTAAATTTTAATACATAAAATACCATTTCAATATGTTTATTATCAGACAGATGCTACAAAACACACAAAAAGAAAAATTGACTGATGGTAAATTTTCAAATAATATCTTTTTTTACCTTGCTCGATCTTTTTGATTTGAAAATATTTCTCAGTTTACTACCAGACTCCTAGAAAATACAAGATAAGATCAAAATTAAATTATCTAAAAATTAAATTATTTATAACTATTAATTACTACTTAACCGGGAGATTAAGGGAGGATAATTAAATTGAGGGGAAAACCACTTAGCCGAGGGCCTCCAAGACCTTTAGTATCGTTCGATTTAGAGTTTGTATCTTTTGTATATAAATATATTGTAAGAAAAAAAGACTCGTTGAATATTTGAGAAACTCAGTGCATTGCTTTATTGATTTTTATTCATATACTATAATATATTTGAGAGTAAAATGTAGATATCGGGACAAATAAGCGTCTGTTAATTTAGTTTATGTACAGGGTGTCCCAATTAACATGGGAAATCAGTGACAAATTCGATATCGTCTTTTTAAATAATTCTTTGATTTTGTTTAGTGATACCTATTGAAAAAGCTGTAATCTGTAAGAGTTTCGTCTGCTATGTTCTCATTTTGATTGTTTATGTTTTAACTGCATACGGTTGTACTTAAAAAAAACCAGAAAATTGCAGTATACAAACAGAGTAAACTTGTCCGTCTTCACAGTTCATCTTGCGGAGACATTACAGACACATCTTTAAAGTCTTTAACCCTTTTCATAAAATAAACTCTTGCAGACATAATAATATTTTGGGTTTTGAAATTATGTATTACAAGGCTAATTCATAACAAAGGCGATATCAAATTCGTCACTAAATTCCCATGTTTTTTTTGGGACATACCTGTACCGCAATCTCAAAATGATTAAGATTAAAAACATAAATATTTTTACTCTGCAACAAACACCATTAAACAATTGTTTATTTCATGTCATATCGGACAGTATCGGTCTCATTCAAGTTAAACCAAACTATATCAAACCAAACCAAACTATTTTGATCTAACCAAACCAAGCTATATCAAACCAAACCAAACTATTTTGATCTAACCAAACCACGCTATATCAAACCAAACCAAACTATAATATCAAACCAAACCAAACTATATCATACCAAACCAAACTATTTTGATCAAACCAAACCAAACTATATTAAACCAAACCGAACTATATCAAACCAAACCAAACTATTATGATCAAACCAAACCAAACTATAATTAACCAAACCAAACTATATTAAACCAAACCGAACTATATCAAACCAAACCAAACTATTTGATCAAACCAAGCCAAACTATATTAAACCAAACCAAACAACTTATCTATATATATTTTCTATGAACTTCTGCTAACTCTATATATTTAATAATCCATGAATTGATCTCCATAGTTACCTCTAAAACTAAGGATTTATCATGGCTCCTTAGCTCCCATTCCTCCAGCTCCTTAACCTTAGGATCATCAGGATCAAACCCTTTCTCCGGACTCTGGAATACAGTTCAAATCAATCAATTAATCAAACATTCATTAAATCAATTTCTTTTCTTGGTTTACTCTTTAGATATAGAATTCATTAATAGTCTAATTAATAATCTATCTTTATAATAAAGCTCTTAGCTTCTATAATTATAATTGTATATATGTTAGCTATGACTTGGCCAAACGGCTGGACCAAATTGGCTGAAATTTGTTGAGGAAACTCTCCGGTACCTAACATAGGCTAAACAATTCAAAATTACTTTTTTTTTCCAAAATTTAACTAAATTTGATTTTTTTTAATTCCACAAATAACGCCGGGCACTTCAATACAAGTATAAAGTCTCCCTTCTATAAAACTCAAAAATGATGAATATTAGATAGAGAGACTTTTTTTTGATACGCGCTGAAAATGTTTATAAAATCTTATATTTTAAAACAATATGTCTAGTGTTTACCCTATCTAGTAGTCCAGCTGCCCGGGCAAACTCCGGGCTAACCCTATGCTGTTCATTTACCGGGGTGACAAGATCCCCCTCCCTGGTGTCCCCAACTCTCTCCCCCAGGTCGGCGTTGTCCACCATGGCCTGTATATCCTCTAGACTAGAGTCCAGATCAGGGTTCTGGATCTCGGAGATAATATGCTCGACTGATCTATGGGTTTCCTCCACTGTTGAGGTTCTCTTTCTAAAACAAAATTAAAAATTATCAAAAAAAAAAATTAAATTTTAAATGTTTGAGTAGTTTTATGCTGAACAATGAACAGATAGAAGAAATAATCATATCATATCCAAAAAATTTATTCACAAGTAATAATTTCGTATAATTATGAATTTCAAAATTAATACATTAATGTCATACCATTATATTGTTAAACTTTGATTCTTGGTAAAACAATTATTATTTTCTGAGTATTTGAATCGAATACCTTCTTATCAAGGATTCCATCTCTCCTTCTCCGACCATATCTTCTAGTACTGGATCACTGGGTTCAGGAGACTCTTTCTCAGGTTCAGGTTCAAGAACCTTTTCAGAACTTGTGTTGTCTCTAAGGATTTAGAATGATAAGATTCACTATAGGAAAAATACATTTATTATTTAGAATTCTCTAAAAGACGCATAATCTACCAACATTATGAACGTCACAAACCTTCTACATGTTGGGATTTTTTAAGTCTATTTCCCCAGATTCAATTAGATCTCCCAACTTGTAAAAATCGCCGATCCTTCAAACCTTAAGACCTCCCAAAAGCTCCTAACCTCCTACTATCTTCAAACCTTCCAATCTCTAATCCCACCAACGTCCCAAAATCTCTCCTTAAATTTCACAACCTCCCCATACTTTTTCAACCCAACACTCTCCCAAACCCAATCAGACACCCTTTTAGCCTACCAACCTTTTAACCTGTCAGCCTGTCAATCTGCCAAACTGTTAACTAAAACCTAAAACTTGTAAAACTGTCAACTTTTCAACCTGCCAAGCTGCCAACATGTCAATTTGCAAATTTGTCAACCTTTTAACTTGCCAACTTGTCTACCTTTCAACTGGCCGACCTTACAACCTGCCAATCTACCAACCTGTCAACATATCAACATGCTACCTAGTGACAACCTGCCAACCTGTCAACTTGAAAACTCGTCAAAATGTCAACCTGTAAACCATCAACCAGTCAACCTGTCAACCTGTAAACTTGTCAATCTGTCAACAGCTGTCATTGTCATACTGTTAACCTGTCAACCTGTCAACCTGTCAACCTGTCAACCTCCCGAACCTTCTTTAAGTTCTGACCCAGGCAACCCATTGATACCTTGGAGAAGAAGCTCCACTAGCTCCAGCACTCTCTTCTAGCAGCATCTCAAGCTGACGGGGGGAATGCTCTACCTCATCCTCAACTCTATATATATAATAGATACAGGGTGTCCCACATCATATTAGATCGTTTATAACTCTAAATTACGATTTTCGGGACAAATCAGAAGATTTAAAAAGATTGAATCATTCAAAAAATTGTATTTATATACTAAAAAAAATTTGCTTGCATAAATTACTAGTTAACAGCATTATTATGTGCATATTTTTGCTTTAAATCCGATAAGATATGGGACGCTCTGTACATAAACAATATTTCTTACACATCGGTAGTTTGATTTATAGGGCCAAAAAAAACTATTATTTTTAGAGACTATGGCAAAATTCTCCAAAAAAGTTTTTTTTCCCCCCTATATTATTCATTTCTTAACCGAATTAAGATGATTTTAACATTTTTGAATTCAGTGTTTCAAAACGGATTTTTTGGCACCCAAATCGAAAAATTTTGATGAAAAAATTTTGCTTGAACTAGTGATACATTTTTACAAAAACGTGATGCGCTGAATGGATTTTATTATAGAAACATTTAAGACACGTGCTGAAAGGATCTGAACATTTTTATGAAAAAAGTGCCATATGGTCCTACCCTTACTCTTATGTGCTAAATTATCTTCCGGAAAAAATGTCTTCCAACCTAGCGTCAATGTTTTTGTAACCTAGCGTTAAAAGCTCTAAAACCAAGCGTTCAAATCTATATAACCTTAAGTTAAAGTCTCCACCACCCTATAAGGTGTACCTGGTTTCTTCTCCTAGTATAAGCTCTGACTCTGGTCTGCTCGCGAAGGGAGTATTCTCGCTAGTTGTTAGTTCTAAACCAGAGTCTGTCTCCGGGGAGTAGCAGGACTCCACTAGTCTACTCTCATCCTAGAATAAACATGAGTTTGAGTTTATCGACGTAATCTAACAAACACAGGGGGGGGGACACTGCTCAACCCCCCCCCCTTCCTCATATTTAGGATTGCTAACAAAGGAACTGATTATTTACCTTAAACTGTAGAAAAATGAATATAACATAATATATATTTATGTCATTGTAATGGGTATTATTAATTAATGATGTATCATTACTTTAAATATATTTCATAATATCATTAAACAATCCATTTAAACCTTTTTCGACATGTCTCGGTGTTAATCAAGATTTTAATGAAAAACATCCTCATTCCTCACCATTTTTAATTCTTCTATGAGATCTAGTTTTATGTTTGCTACCAACACTGTTTCAGACTCAATCTCGTTCTTGTCCTCGCTCTTGTTGTCCTCCAAGTTCTCCTCTACGTCCTTGTTTAGAACAGGGTTCTCTTTATCTATGTCCTCCTCAAACTCTTGTTCATCTTCATGTTCGTCCTGGAAAAAGAAATATATTTTGTGACAAAATATTTAAAATATAAATATCTCTGATTTTTTTTCTTTGTTTTTATCATTATCAAATCATTTGATATTGACTGATTAGCTTCAGTTCAAAGTATAGATTAATTATTTGTTGATTGAAACATCTTTTTAAAATTATCAAGATAAGAAAAATAGTAAAAATATGAGATTGTTAAAGGCACAGTACTTAAACGTAATTCCAAACAATGAGTGAAATTCTGACAATTTATACAATTTCTCTGGAGCACAAAATACGCAATTGTTGATTTTAAAATAAACCAAGTTTGAAAACAATAAATTTTCATCAATATTTCATAAAAAAGGTTTAAATATATATTTGTTGTGAATAAATCCATTCTTTAAATAGCGTGTTACTTTGATAATTAACATAATCTATAAATTCTTGAATATGTTTTATTCATTCGATATCTTTATTACCTGTGATAGTTTAACTGGAAGAATGTAAGTTTCATCTTGATTTAAATTCTTCTCAGATATCATAGAACTCTAAAAACATTTAACTTTTAACTGACCTTGTTTTCACTGACCTTTTTTTAACTAACCTTTTTTAACTGACCTTGTTTTAATTAACCTTGTTTTAACTAACCTTGTTTTAACTGACCTTGTTTAACTTACCTTGTTTTAACTGACCTTGTTTTAACCGACCTTGTGTTAACTTTTAACTGACCTTGTTTTAACTTTTAACTGACCTTGTTTTAACTTTTAACTGACCTTGTTTTAACTGACCTAGTTTTAACTTTTAACTGACCTTGTTTTAACTGACCTAGTTTTAACTTTTCACTGACCTTGTTTTAACTGACCTTGTTTTAACTTTTAACTGACCTTGTTTTAACTAACCTTGTTTTAACTGACCTTGTTTTAACTAACCTTGTTTTAACTAACCTTGTTTTAACTGACCTTTTTTAACTTACCTTGTATTAACTGACCTTGTTTTAACTGACCTTGTTTTAACTTTTAACTGACATTGTTTAGACTTTTAACTGACCTTGTTTGAAGAATTGACTTCTTCTATTGACTGTGACTGATCCATTGTATCTAAATATGATGTAATTTTATTTCCTATCGTAAAGGTAGAAAGGAACTGAATCTTTTCCACAAAATCAAATTTTCTAATCCCTATATATGTTCAACCTGATGATAAAGACAAAGATTATTTTGTCTAAAAGAATTCATAGTTTAAAATATCTAAGATCTACGGCATTGGGTTGCGATATAGAGATTGGAAAATCAGAGTTTGTGACAAAGACTCAATTCCTTTCACCATTTCTGGATAACATTAGATCTAAAACCCTCAAGGTATCTATTTTCCAATGAAATTTAAGAAAAATAATTGATTACTGATTACCTGAAATTTCAAATGGTTCTACAGCTAAGCATGTTTCACTTTCTAAACTTAATAGGGTTCTGTTTGCACACTGCTGTGCTGAAAAAAGATAAATAAATTAAAATAGATTGTAAAGAGTAAAGATACAGTTTGTAACGATGATAACATGATAACAATTTACAAATAACTGTTTGAGTATCTTAAACTTTTATCAATGACAAGGATACGTCTAAATAAACATTGTTATGAACAGTGATATCAAAGATAAAATTTAATTTTAGCTAAGCATACGCTATCCTGCTTTTTGTTTCTTTCTTCAAATAATTAATGTTAATCTTATTGACACTAAATAAATAAGCAAACTTAGTCAATCTACTTTGCTCTTTTTAAAACAGTGAAATTATTTTAAATAAAAAAGAGAAAAGACGGCAACCAAACAATGTTTGCTTACCCTCAGTGTATAAAAAGAGTTTAGTAAATTACGCCGGATTAAAAAGATCTTCTGCTTCGATTTTTATTTTCGACGCTTCTTGTCCTGTCATTTTTTATGGATAAGTAATTGTCTCGTTCCAAATACATAAATTTATTTATATTTTAAAAACCCTTGTTATACCCAAATAGATTATAGTGCAAGTGTCAGTTCAGTTTTTGTGTCCGACAAAATTATTAATAACCGTGATAATTTTAGAATAAAGTGCTTATCTTACAGTAAGAGAAGTGCCATTTTATGTGTTCTTTATTTACTGTTCTTACACTTTTTTATTTAATCTTGGAAGACATGTTAACTAATCCGGGCAAAATTCGTTTTTCTTGTTATATTTGACACTTGTGACGTTGATGTATAATTTGTTCATTTCTCTGTTGCCATGTACTTGATAATCTATTTGGATATACCTATATTTGCTGGTTCCTGTATAACTTGTGTTGCTTCGAGTTCATTCCATGTCGGACTGATCCTGGTTCGAGTAGGGAGTTTCGAGCTCTGTAACTCAGATAATCGAACCTTCAAGTCCTTTAACTCCTAGCCAATAGTTTAACTTTAGAATAAAACTTAGAAAAAAATGATTATTTTAGCTAATTATTTTTTATATTCTTTTACATATCTTAACATAAAGAATTTGAGTATATGCCACAAATTCTGATTTTCTAATCCCTATATCTTTGCAACCCAATGTCTTAGACCTTTAATATTTCATACTTATATGACTTCTGTGTACAAGATCAAATATTTTAAGTTTGAAATACTAAGGTTTTCGCCAAGATCAATTTATATGTATTTGTAACAAACTCTGATTTTCTAATCCCTATTTTAAGTTTGAAACACAACGATTTCCGCCATCAGATTGCATTGATACAAATAGTGATTCGAAAATTTTAGTTTGTGGCAAAGACTTAATTCCTTAGTTTAAGTTTCTTTTGTATATGTTTTCAGCATTACTTTATAACCTTTAAATGTGGTTTTGAATAAAAGTAAGAAAAGAGAAGAACTGAACAATCTAAAAAATCTAAATCTTGAAAATCTAACCTGATCATAGTTTCTATGTGTATGATTCTGCTCCCGGAGAATATCAACCTGATCCTTTAAACACTGAACCTCTTGTCCCAGTCCAACCTAGATAAATATATATTAGAACTGAGCTAACATCAAGTTGGACTTTGGAGTAAATTTCACGTTAGGGTAAAATCTCACATGGTTTTTCTAAAGGGTAAATAAAGAGAAGAAAAAAGTTTTGAATTATTAACTTGCTACTAAATAAATTGTTTGTTTTTTTTCTATTTGGGCGAAAAAAAATAGAACCAAGAAGTCACAAAGTCGTTTAAAGAATTTAGCATAAAGGAACTGAGTTCTTACAACAAACTCTTGTTTTTAAATCTCCATATCTTTGCAATCCGATGTTGTAGACCTTTGATATTTCAAACTATGAGCTCTGTTAGATCCAATAATAAGTTTAAAATATCAAAGGTTTACTTCATCAAGTTGCAAAGATATGGAGTAGAAAATTTAAGTTTGTTGCAAAGAACTCAATTCCTTTGACCTATGGATCAGATATATGGTATACTCTTAATATTAATATTTAATATACAAATAGTATCCTAAAGGTTGCAAAGCGGGTCTCAATAGTAATTGTATGATTATTGATTACCATTTATAACTATATAATAGATTAAAACAAAAATACACTTTTTATCCATTTTGGTTAACTTGGATCAAAATTCAAAATCTTAATAAAACTACCAAAATTATGGCTTCTTTATACAGGGTTTCGTTGCCAGATAAGTAAGTACATGTGTCCTAGCTATCCATGGTCCAGTTCTATAGTCCAGTTAAACCAGTTTGTCTAATGATTATAAATTCCATGGCACCCCAAAACAAACTAAACTACAAGGAGATAACTGAATACAATAGATTGGAACGACTTTTCTTAATTTATTCTTGCAAATGACCAAAGAAAACTTGAGTGAAATCACATTTAACTAATCTACATTTAATCTCAGGTTATATTTATGCATGTTTTTATATATAACTCATAATTTTTAAAGAGCTAGCTACACTGGGTTTGAAATTCTTATTTGAATTGCAATCTGACGAGTTTACTTCCTATGAATTAAAACAAGGAGTTACGAGGCTGCAAAGTATTTGCTTGTGTCTCGTTAGGATTTTAATTTTTCAGCAAATTTTTCGTTATCATTATTAATTGTAATTTCTTAAAAGAAATATCAAAAACAAATAATACTGTTAGCAATGATAATAATGATAATAATAATGATAATAACGATAAAAATTATTAAAATTATAATAATTATAATGCTGATAATACTAATGATAATGATGATAATGATAATAACGAAAATAATTATGATAATAATTATATAATGATATTAATGATAAAAGATAAAAGATATAAAAAATTTGGCTCGCTCTTTTTAAGGCTGAGAATATATATTTAGTGTAGGTTGAGTAGGATGCAATAGAAGATTTCAATATTAGATTTCATTTATAGGAAATGATACAAATTGGCTGCATAGAAAAAATTATAATGTTTAACTTCTGAAAGCAAAGGAGATGAGTCTCTGTCTCAAACCTAACCTAACCAACCCTAACCTAAAACTCTGATTTTCTATTCCCTATATCTTGGCAACCGAATATAGTAGACCTTAGATATTTCATGCTATGACTTTTGTTAGATCAAATAGTCAAAGCTTGAAATATAAATGGTTTCGACCATCAGGTTACCAAGATATATGGATTTGAAAATTAGAGATTGTGGCAAAGAATCAATGGGGGAATTCGGTCTTCGGAGAAGTTATATCCTTACATCCTAAAACCAACTAGTTTTGGAAAAAAATAGGTTTAGAAAATAAAATAATACCGAAGTAATTCGTCAGATAGTTTTAACATTTTTATCAAAATCTTCATCCTCAAAAATGTACACCCCCCCCCATGTAACCAAGCCTGATCTAAGAAAATCACTCCATCATCTCTCTTTCCAGCTGTCCCGTCTCCCAGCAGTTCTAAGACGGTTCAGTTGAATGATGATTATTTATTAATATTTGTTAGTCATGTTTAACAGCCGTGTTACCAAGCTAAGTAGTTTAACAATTAACATGGAATACATCTCTTACTTCCTTTCTTAAACAAATAACATTAACTTAAAAGACGTAATTTAAGTTAATTTCCATAAAAATATTGCCAATTTAACCATTTTAACCATACAAATATTGCCAATTTAACCATTTTAACCATAAAAATATTGCCAATTTAACCATTTTAACCATAAAAATATTGCCAATTTAACCATTTTAACCATAAAAATATTACCAATTTAACCATTTTAACCATAAAAATATTGCCAATTTAACCATTTTAACCATAAAAATATTGCCAATTTAACCATTTTAACCATAAAAATATTGCCAATTTAACCATTTTAACCATAAAAATATTGCCAATTTAACCATTTTGTTGTTGACACTTTCCATTAAAACCCTTGGATGGCAGATTGCAATACTGAGCAAGAAAATAGACAAGCTGATGACAACCCCACAGCAAAAGAAATTTGTAAAAAAAACATTTGTACAAATGTAAGCACTCTGAAACAACCCGTATCATTGTTAATTTATAAACAACCCCATCACACCTCGAGCATTGTTTTCAGACTTAACCACTCTGAAACAACCTGTATCATTTTTAATTCATAAACAACCCAACCCTAAGCTTCAAGTATATTTTAAACATTAAACCTTTTAGCATCTCCCATAAAACAGTAGATTAGAGAAGGCAAGATCGAGGGCAGGGTTTAACGAAGGTGGGGTGGCTGCTTACTCTATTTGGGAATAACTCCTATGGGGGTTTGAGTGGCTCACAGAGTTTTGGAGCGTTTCTTTGGGCGTGATGCCTTCCAGGGTTTAGGAAAAGCTCCCACAAGGATTGGAATAGGAGTCACTCAAAAAACTCTGAGAAAAGCTATTCCAAACCTCTTGGAGTTGCCACCCATAGATAAAGATAGATTGCGCATAAGACACATCATGTTTGAATCCACAAAATGTGTGGGGTGCTAAAATTCTTGATAGATTTGCACAAAGTGTCTGGGTGCAGACATGGCTTGCTCGATACAGATTGTGAAATATCTAGCTTTCCATTGAAGTTTCTTATTAGAATTTCCTCCTTGCCAGAAAACTTTTATTCTCTGTATTTTGTAAACAAATCAAAGTACAGGAGGAAAATTTTACTTTTTTATAAATTTGTTTTCATTTGAGAACATGACTGACAACATTTTATATTAAATAATACTTGAAAACTTCAGAGAGAATATCTGTTAAGAAAGTGTTTTAAAATCACACTGTGGCGATAAAAAAATGAGGGTTCAAAAATTTACATTTGTACAGTGTATAGTGTATAGTATATAGTGTATAGTATATAGTGTATAAATGTATCAGCCCAATTCTTGATCGACTGAAAATTATTTTTCTTACGAATCAAATTTCTCCATCTAATTAAGTACAAATGTACCATACGAAGAAGTAAATATATATTTTAATAAAAACAATTGAACGATTTAAAAACTACTTAATTCAGCTTAAAACTGGATTAAATAGTTTCAACAAAAAATGTTAAAAATTTACTAAAATCAATCATCAGTTTGCAGCACATGTTGACTGAGTATAACAGGTTATTTTTGTTAGGGTCTAAATATTAAATTGTTTATTACAAAAAAAAGAATCAATAAGAAAGTCATTAAACAGTTAATTTAATGATTTCTTACTAAATAACCTTTTGATTGCACATTCAATAGATATTTTATCTCTCTTCTAAGTTTTCAGAGAAATTATAAATTAAAAATATATTCGATATTAGCACTGCATAAATGTATAAGCATTAAACATGGGGCTGCTAGGTGCTAACTCTGATATTATTGACTCTATGGACCCAGAGACATAAAATGCAGTGTCATCCTCATTCTACACAGTTCATATACGAACTATTCAGTAATCAGTATTTATGACAACCCCCCCTCCTTCATCGTAATCACTTATAGGATTTTAAAACGGCGCAATAGGGGGCATTTTGGACTGATCTTATGTTTATTCAGTGTTTGTGTTGCCATAAAGCAAAAAGTAGTCGTCTTCCTATAACACCATTTTATGGGTCTAACTGTACCTTTCCGCCCACAAAGCAAAACCAAAACAATCTTTAATTTCATCCTTGCCCAAAAAGAATTGCAAAAGCCATGGAAAACTTATTAGCTGCCAGCCATGTTAACTCCTAGGGCTCACATATTAGCTGCCAGCCATGTTAACTCCTAGGGCTCACATACTTCTAACCTGAACCTGACCCAACAGGGGAAAAAATTTAAGCATTTTTTATTCAACCTACAAATATTTTTAATTATGATTATTTCGATATTAATATTCAGTAGAATATTTATTTTTGACATTTCATGAAAAAAAGCTTTTTATCTTTTTTAAATAAACCTTAGTTCTCAATTGTGTAAACAAAAAAAAAGAAACACAAAGCTAAATGGTAATAAAAATGCTGATATGAGAGTTTTTTTTACTACTTCCTTGTATTTTACATTCTGGTTATAGTCTGCGGAAAAAATGCCAAAATATTAAAATATTTTTCAAATATAATTTCAAAATTTTCTGTATAACTCTGTAGATAAAATGGATAACCCTCAAAATTTTGACACTCTGTCCCACTATTTTCAATTTTCTGCTAAATTGAATAGTTAATAATAATAAAATTCGAAAAAGAATGTTTTTTTAACCATCTTTAACTGAATTTTGGTTGACATTTAATATAATTAAGTCTAAAAAGAAAAAAAACACTGCTTGTTCTTGTAAAAAGCCTTGCAATCGAAAATATGTATTACAATTTCCAAAAAAACCTGTAGATAAAATGAACAACCTTGAAAGTTTAAACCCCTGTTCTTGAATGTATTTTATTTTCCTTTGATCGTTGGCCTCAATCAGATTATCTCTCCTAATTAATAATCGTTATCAACGTCTTTAATGTCATCTAACAAATATTAGTTCATGTTCAAATATTAAATAATATATGAAATTAACATCTTTTTGAATTTTGATTATGTAGATTTATTTCATATGCTG